CCAAATTCAATCGATCACAAGCACACAGAAATACACACGCACAGCATAGACAGATGTAAGTGTTTTATTGACCAAAAATGGCATACTGATAAGCAATCAAAAGGTCGGTATCTGTTGGTGTGAAGGTCAAATCTGTTCGTTTGTTTTTTTTTAAGGACAAAGCATTGACTCGGTAACCCGGTGGTAGATCAGGGGTGTTGTGAACTTTTGCTTGTCGTTTTATTATTCACAGTGGGAGCAAATAAGGACCATATAAAGAGTTACGAAATAAGGGCTACCCACTGGGAGAGATGAAGTTGTTCGGAAAGGCCGGAAAAGTTATCCAACCCAAAATGCGGTTTAGTAATCGAATAGCAAGTGGCATTGTGATTAACACTATAGAACGCCTGTGTCCCGTTTTCGTTTAAATTCGACTCGTTGAGCATGATTGTGAATTCACACCCAGAAATCCAGAAATGTTTATAACACAGGTGTATTCTTGGCTTTCATTTATCTATTTCGATCAACCTATCGCTCATGGAGCAAATCCTAACTAAAGAGCGAATTTCCACGTTTGGCAAAGAAATATGTCGTTCCCCATTTGCCGAGAGCTGCAATTCCATCACGACGAGACTGCACCTTGATGTGGTATGATGCCTTGCGTGCCTCTATGACCCTGAGAGCTACACAAGATGGCTTTTCACAGCCGTAGATTTAATCATGCCTGAAAGGTCAACGGTTAGAGGCCAGACAAAGTTCAGCCTCACAAGGCCAGCTGCTTGGGCACCTCCTGGTTTCCTTTTTCTATCCACATCCGCCCCTAGATAGGTCACTCCAGCAAATAAACTTGGTGAGGGGCAGTTTATCGGTCAAAAAAACCCGGTAGATGAACGTAAGAGCGGGGTACCTGCGGCTTCCTGTCGACGGTGGGAAAATTCTTCGCACTTCACTGGACAGCTACCGCCCACCAGCCAATAAGGTACTGTTCCGTCCATGTTCCGCTTGTCTCACTGGGTGCATGGGGCTAAGGGCCGAACCCGAAAAGCGAACCGACAATCAACGCACTAGCGAACAAAACACTGAACCGAAACCCGAAGGCCTTGAGTGATAGGTTTCTAGAAGCTCTCACACGGGTACTTCGTTCACGCTCCCGCGTTGGATTTACGCCCTACTGCCTTGTGAGTCAGACTTTTGAATCGAAGGCTCCAATTAGGGTTACCAAAGAAAACCCCCTTCGCCGATGTGGGCTGCCGCGAAGTATGTCATGCCCTAAAGTCTTAGGCACCCATCCGGAAAAACCATCCTTTTATTTTTCTCAATCCCAAATAACTCCAGGTACTTCCTGTTTACGAGACCCAGCGGATATGGCTCAGTGTTCAACTAATAAGGTCAGCCACTCAGGCTATCACATTTTTGAAACCGAAATCCCCTCAAAATTAGCTGCTTTTAACGTCTGCACATTGCCAGATCGGTCAACAAGCTGCCTTAGAACCCTTGAAACGTTCTATTTATATGTATACTGTATCTCCAAAACACGCATACAAGACCCTAATTCAACTATCTTCCTCCATTCTCCAGATCCAGCCTCATCCACACGCTTCACTCCGATTGTCAGGCGATTCAGCATCCGAAGCTCGCAGTGTTGCTGATGTTGGGATAGCGCTAAGTGTCAAGGCCGAGCGTTCACTTCTTGACTGGATTCCAGTCAGCAGCTGACTTTGCGTTGTAGGTCTGGATAGTTTAGTACGGATCAACAGCTACAAAACGAAACGTCAATGTTTGTTCGTCGTATCCGCGTATGCGCCAACTGATTGCAGAAGGATGAATTCTACAAGGACCTCTCTTTACTGCTCCAAAGTGCTCGGTCAACGGACATCGTGGTAATCGCTGGAGACGTCATTGCTCAAGTGGGATCTCTGGACGAATCAGAAAGGATACTTAGTGGTTCACATACAATCCCAGCTAACCGGACTGACAACGAAGAACGCCTACTCCAACTTTGCGCTGACCACGGACTGTTTCTGTCAAGCACCAACTTCTCGCAACAGAAACGACACCGCCGTATATGGAGACCGGCAACATCTTCATAGCGCTGGACTCAAATCAACCACATCGCTATCAGCCACCGCTGACGTAGATCCATTGAAGACTGCCGCTCCTATTGGTCAACACCCGTGGGCACGGACCTGCTCTGCTACGAGCCAGATTCTTTCTACGCCTGATAAACAACCGCAGTAAAGCCACCGAAATCGGATGTCCACAATACAGTGTCAGCGACGGTTGCAAATCGGCTTTTGAATCGGAACTCTCCATTCACCTCTCAGCTTAACCATCAGCCGAAAGAACTCATTAAACACTGTATGACAATCAAAGAAGCGATCTAAACGTCGATCAAAACAACAGCACATTCTGGCGCGCGCTCATAAAAACGATGCATCTCCCCGACCTCGGCTGCCCTGCTGGACGCTCGCAAAGCCATTCCTTCGGAATCTAAATACGACAAGGCGCACCGATCCCTCAAACGCCTGCTCATCAAGAGTCCGAGGAATGACCGCCACAAGTGGTGGGTAGAGAAGTGTAAAGAGATGGAGAAGGCTGCGGCTATCGTTAATAGCCGCAATCTTTTTCGTTTAATTAGGAGTACCGGTCCAATGAAAGTAGGCGTAAGTGAGGTAATTAAGGAGTCTGACGGCACATTGATTCATATTCAGCAACGCCGTCTAGATCGACGGGCAGAATATTTTAAGGCTCAGTTCAGCTGGCCCTCGTCAGCACATGACCTCCCTATACTCGATTCAACTGTGTTAATACTGCCAGTTGACATCAGTCCTCCATCTGAAATGGAGGTTATCAGAGAAATAAAATATCTCAAAAGGTATAAGGCTTCCGGCGCAAACGGGCTGTCTCCATTGGCTTTTACGGATGAAGGCTCAGCTACGGTTTCGAAGTTAACGAAACTCCTAGGCTCGTTGTGGGAGAGGGAAGAGGTTCCAACTGAATTCTCGTTGGTATTGCAGTCTGTCGATTGTCTGCCGCACGAGAAGAGTGCACGCGTGAGAACCAGGTTTAGCTTCAGACCTGGTCGAGGTAGTATCGACATCTTCACTCTTCGTAAAATTACAGAGCACAGACAATCCTTTGGATCTGAAAGCAGCTTTAGATTTTGTCGACCGCTTAAAATTCGCGCCACCTCGCTCTAAAGCGTGTGCCCGAAAAGTTTTTTCGATCTTATAATCCGTTTATACTAATAGCCGAAGCCGAGTTCGAGCTTACGGCACTTTTTCAGCCGAGTTCATTACAGAAAGTGGTGTTCGACAGGATAGTCCTCTTTCTCCGTTTCTATTTAACTTCGTCATAGATTTAATTCTTGAAGCAGCCCTATCCTTGTGCGAGGATAGTGGTACCGATTTACTCCCAGGTGGCAGACTGTCTGATCTAGAGCATACAGACGACATTATGCTACTAAGTGAAGATTCAGGGAAGTTTCAGGCTTCTCTGGATAGTTTGAGTGCTAGTGTAGCCATGTTCGGTATGCGTTTGCACCTTTAAAGTGCAAAATGTTACATCAAGACTGGGTTGGTCCAGCACTCAGTCTCACCCTGACTGGGGAAGTAGTAGAGGAAGTGGACAAATTTTGCTATCTAGTCAGCTATATCTCACCTGGCGGACGCATCACAGATGAAGTATCGGCGCGTATACAAAAAGCTCGATTGGCATTTGTCCAGTTGAGACATCTGTGGCGCTATCGCGACATCCGGCTGTCTGTGAAGGGTCGAGTATATGCTGCAGCAGTTCGACCAGTTCTGCTATACGGTGCAGAGACTTGGCCAACACGGGAAGAGGATAAAAATAAGTTGTGGGTGCTCGAACACCGCTGTCTACGTCGCACTGCACAAGTCTGGCGGGGTAAGCGGTCGAGTAATGCTGAGGTTAGGTGCAGGGTTTTAGGTAATGGTGATCGTCCACTAGAACAAGTAGATGACCTCTATGGATTATATTGGTTGGGGCATGTGTTACGCATACCGCCAGATAGGTTGCCACAGCGAGCGATGTTTGCCGAGGCAAGTAGTAGTCCGAAAAAGGTGAAGGGTGGTCAAACGAGGACCTGGCATGAAGATATGAAAACCTTAACTAGGAGACAGGGTCATTTATCTCCCGTTAGGCTCCCTGGCTGGAAACCTCGAGATCGTAGTCGCCAATGGTTAGAGACACTGAGCGATATAGTTGGGTACCGCAAACAGTGGCGCTCATGCATCTACTCAGTATTCTTGCAACCCCAGACTGTATAAATTCTCCATCTTCCGTTTGAATTTGCTCAAAATATTCCAATCTTCGTTCTGTTCCCCAATCCAAATGGGCGGCCAAACGACAATAACCAAAACCGGCGCATGAACGTGATTGTAAAAACTTAACTTAACTGAATTGGCAAGTGCATGGATTAACTCTACACATCGTAAATTAATAATCTTTTATTAATCTGCTCCAGGTTGTAATTGAATAGAAAGTTGCCGACTTGACCAACCCAATCAACTGACTACCACTGAAGACGAAATTTGAACAAATTTAAATTGGTAATTCTTGTCAGTCCCGATGTGCCCTGTTTATGCATACAGGGTAATACACGCCCTCTCTACGATGGATCTGGAGTTGAAAACCCACAGAGAAAAGCAGGACTTTGCGCGTCACTTGTCGCCAGGTTTAACACGGGAAGGCAGTCTTTTTAATTCCGCAGAAAAGGAATTAACACCATACTGATAAGCTTTGTTGAGAACGAAATTCGAGTCCAGTATTTCCGGAATGGTTGACTGAATAAACCGAGGATTGCACATGAAGATCGAATCGGAATAAAGGTCCAGCAGAACCATTATCCAAATGAGTCCATGGAGAAAACAGTTTCCTGCATCTCCGGAAGACTTGTGTCAAAGTCGGTGCGTTATTCGTTCTAGTAAGGAGGTTTGTAAAAGAAACAGGCACAAGACCCCAAGCACTGAGAAGGTAATGTGAAAAACAATCGAACTGACCTTCACTATGACCGCTGAATCTTCGTGTCCGATGTTTGCCCAGCAGCCAGTTTCTTCTTAGTCGAGATCGGGTCTTGAAAATGCTAAACCACTGCGAAAGGGGTAAATTTGAAAGAGATAAATACGAGAAGTATTATGATTAATTCATCGAATGGGAATACACTGAAAAAAAAACAGTCTCACTGGGAAAATTTCAAATATCTTTTTCGTCCAATAAACTGACCATAAACCAATATGCTGTGCATAGAAAATTCGATGGAATTACTAGAAATCCAACGGGTTGGGACAAGCATTACATCAAGTACTAGGCGGAACAGTGAGATCATATACGAATAGTCACGGGACGGAAACAAACCTCAAGCGGCTAATCTATTTGATCGGGCTAACCAAGAATTTAACGGAATCGTCAAAACTAAGTAGGTTTGTAGGTCGGGTGTAGTCATGACAAGTGTGATCGAGCCAGGAGTCTGACGATAATATTACCCTGATAGAGTCGATCGAGAAGCACTTCGTAACTGGCGCGTGCAACAGTTATCCGAGGTTCGGTGCTAAATCAGTGCACTTATGGCTACCATCGGAACCAACGGCATAGAATATTGATTGTTATTGTTGCTGATGATGATGGTAGAGGATGTGTATTACAATAGGCAGTAGAAATCAGCTATCTCAAATGCGGAATTTGACAACCCATTGGTTGAATGCACACGCGTGAATGATTATACATGGGTGGCCGTCAGAAAAACTAAGCCAGAAATAATAAACTCGCGGCAGATGGTCTCGATAATGTAAAAAGCGAATACATCACTGAGTATCAGCACAACGAAATGCGATGGCGTGATAACAAGCCCCGCTTTTCAGTGCATGCGAATTAGCAACCACAAGGATTCGTCCAGTGCTACTTTTCTCTTAGTCACATTTTTGGAAGCTCATTTACGTTCCGCAGAATTTATTTCCGACCTTTTTCACGTGAGAATTGCAGAAAAACACTTTTCTGCAAATTCTCACGAACTAAAGGGATAGTAAATGTTGCCCAATGTAAAAGAATTTAGTAGTTGACTGTGCGGGTTATGAGTAGAGGTACTCTGCCCCGTCTATTTAGTTCTGTTGTACGGTTGTGAGACCTTGAATTTGCGAGTAGATATCCGTCAACTGGAAGTTTTCCATTATCGGTGTTTACGTAGTTTAGCCCACATTGGATGGAGCAAATGGGTTAGTAAGGTGGACATAAGTCGTCGTGTGTTTGGGAGTCTATCAGGTATAAACATGCTAGCATACCGAATTCAGATTATTAGGCTTCGCTGGCTAGGACACGTATTGCGTACGTACGCCCAGCCATCGTCTGCACCTTATTCGCTGTTGCTAATCTGGGCTGGAGGAAACCACGTGGAGGTCAACAGATGACGTGGAGACGAGGCATGAAGAAATGCACAGAATCATTAGGTAGAGTAGGTGTCTCGCGCCTTCCAGGTTGGTTGGAGACATTGAAGGATATGGCAGCGAACCGACAGCAGTGGCATTCTTGTTGTCATTTCTTATTAGGCCAGAATGCTTGAAACAGTATGTATGCAGAGTAAGATTATGTACTGCGTTGATCATAGAGGTTCACTTTCTTCTCCCTCCCTCAAAATAGATCCAATCCCTGTACACCTTAAATATTACCACTAACCTTGTATACATTGCAAGTTTGGCAATGATCAGTGAAGTTTGCCTCGCTGTATTTCGCTGTAGGATGATGATGAGAAGGTTCTCACTCTGAGTCCCGGCGGGAACATAGAAAATAGCACAGAAGATAAAACAGGTGTTCAATGCCCTTTGTGTATCGCAACTGCGAAGTTATCTTTACCGATTGCTACGACGCTCACAAAAGGTGCAAAATGAGTAGAAATATATCAGCTTGGAAGGGACTTAGGAACGTGTGAAGGATGCCAAATACCAATAAATACAGTAGTTCGGACGGGGGTGGGACAGTAGACGAGGTATTAAATAAATAATCAGTAGGTTGCATATGACCTCGATCACCGAACTCCGAGCGGTAAGACCAATGTGTGTTGAACGGATAGATTAGCCGAATGCCTAAGGCCTCGACTGTTGAGAACGGGTTGCAATTTACTACCCTGCCAACTAGAGCACAAACTAAATTACCCATGATCAAATACACATTTTATAGTAGGTGGACGAGTACTGAGATTGAGATAATTGAATGACCTTCGTTTACTTCATGGTAAGCGCTTTGACAATAAGCGATCCTAGACTTATGTAGGGGTCACGCTACAGGTGCACCTGAATGTATAAATAATCAAGGCTAAGGTTGACAATGGAAGCGTGTCTTCATTCTGATATCCAATTACAGATGATGCGAAGAAATCTTAGTCTACTCCTCATGCACTCATCTGCTGCATCAGCAGTGTGTATAAATAACTTTTAAAGGTGACAACTAGCCATTCACTTCTACTTATCGGAGTGTATTTTTTCGCCCGAAAAACAGTGGCTCACAAGTGCAACTGGTAGAACTGCTTGGCGCTATCTGTAGCCTGGGGAGCCTATTAACACGCAGATTGGTTTTAGCGCCTCCGGGCAATTGTGACATCAGGGACAACAAACAGTTCCACAGATCAGTCCCCCAGGTACAGGGATCATGTGCTTAGGAATCGGACTGGGGTCGTGATTAGTTCCAAATGCCAATGCGATTAAGCATGCAGTTCCAGAACTTTTATTTTGTCTGATCAGTCTACAAGCATTGGAAGAGAATAAATTGTACCAAGACAAGTGCATGTGAAGAAAATAGGACTAAGTAGCTACGTTCAGAAAACGAGTGCACACAGATAGCGTTGTTACATCCCACACACTGAACAAGGTGCTTGTGTAATTAGGATTTCGATTTTGCCTCGTGATCCTTTTTATTTTCTTGTGAAGTTACAGTCATTTAAATGCGATTAAAAGAAAATCTCTCGGGAAGGATTCAAATAAAAAGAGGTAAACGAGATTATGTTCGAAACCGTTAGTGAATACTTCGGGAGCCCTTCATCGTACTATGTTTTCCCCTACCCCTAGCCAATGTTTTTAAATATGCTGATGACATCAATTTATTCCAATCCGACCTGACATGACATCACTTTCTGACGGCTTGCCACATGTGTTAACATTTTAAGGACAGTCCGGTCTTCATCTGAACGCTTCTGAGTGCATTTAGAGTTTATCGCGATTTGAGTACCGATTGAAAACTTCAATGAAAATCTAAGTATCTATACCCAGAAAACACCGGTAAATGTCTTGGTCATCCCGTGAGGAAGCCTGCGTTAATAAACGACATTGATTATCCACTCAGATACAAAAGCTAAGACAAGTTAGGCTGGAAAATCTAACGACTAGTTCTTTTATTTATCAGTTCATTTTTCTATAACATCTGATTGCTTCGCTGTGATTTTCTCTAGTCTATTTAAAAAGGATTGTAACACCATTTTTCACAGTAACCAACTGTGTTTCTTTCACGCTCATGGACATTCAACTCACAAAAGTGTCTCGCCTTCATGCATTCTCTGGTAACATTGTTATCTATGATGATCTTCACGACCTTAGCCATCCAATTAATCTCGATCTATTTGTCTAGCGTTTCCATGCCACAATCAGATCCGATTTTCGCTTCTCAAGATCGAGTATAAACATTACCAATTGATTGCGGTTCTCACACACCACCCCGCTACCTTGCGGTTCAGGCTTTTGCTAACTGAAGGCTCCGGTTGTGAACTCCCAAAGAAAATTTACCTGCTTTGGCCTGGGCAACACAGCAGTATCGTGTCATCGTGGGTCTTCTTTGATTTTTAATAAACATTATTGTACCATTGATTTGCTTGGCACACAGTCTGAACTCAAGTGTGAGTGAAAATATATTTTTTTAAATATATAAACAATAATCGTGATTAAACAGTACTTTTTTTTGGTTAGCACTCTAATGGGCAAGGTTTTACATGAACTCATATAGACGATTCTCTATCCAAGCACTTTTCATCCTCGTTATATATAACGCCAGTGCAACATTAAACATTTATTTGTGCGAGTGAAATGTAGGCATATATGCTTGCACAAGTGATTACTGTGCAACACTATTTAATTCAAAATCAAGTTCCAAAGCTAAGGTTGCCCATTCCCATATCTTAACAGTGGATCATTCTAACTATGCGGTCTGATGCCCTCTTCCACTGCACCCTTTGGTGTTCAAACAGTACAGATCACCAACATACAGTCACGTGTTTGAAACCAAACGCCACCGTTACTGATACCACCTAACTTTCCCGCCCTTATTCGTCCACAAATCACCGTTATAGAACACAACGCACTTCCTGTCTATCCCACAAAAGAAGCATAAGTTTGAATATCGTAGAAAAGCGATGCGTCAACACCAGAAAATAATTCACTTCTTGGGTGCCCAGAAAAGGTGATACTACATCACCTCCAGTCTGGAGAATCACTTTACACTTGATTCATCAATGAAACATACTACTACATGCAAACACCTTATTCGTATTTGTGCCGAAAATAAACTTCCTGGGTACATGTAAATGAATGAACTAACAAAACGTCACCGGATACGTATGCATGACGAGAGGCAAAACCGCGAAACCGGTCGTGTGCTTTCAGGGAAATTTCGTCCAATCATTCAAATAGTACTTCCTGCAAAATATGTATGTATGTATGCCACGCACCGTGCACCACGTAATTCACATCCTCAATTTTTTCGCTAGTCAGTTGCTCTTTGCAATCTGATCCGTTGTACCAGACAGACGGAATGAAAACAAAAACAAATTTGAGAACAGGCCGTCGCTGACACCAGTCGAGTGTGCATCACACCGGTGCATGTTTCTCACAAAGCGTTTTTGTCTGGCACATGTAGTCCACAACCGAATAAATGGGCATCCTTTTCACGAGAAAGAGAGAGCACCACGTAGAAAGAGAAAGAGCAAAAACGTGCGCCACGTGTCACTCAATCGAACAGTACATGTGCGCGTGTGTGTGCCAATCCAGTCTACACTTGTGTCAGGTGCGTGAGAATGCCTAGCCGTCACTCACAGCTGGTGAATGACTCACGGCTCGAAC